ACGAGGGCAGGAAGACGAAGAAGAGAAAGAGTCAGAGGTTATTAAACACTAACACCTTGGGGGCATTTAAAGGTAGAACTCAGATTGCCTCATGATTGATGATTTTTAAAATTTTTTTTTTTTTTGCAAACACAAAACAAGATCAAATTTAGCAGAGAAGGCAGGTTCCTGGGCTCAGAGTCGAGTCAGCAAATAGCGCATCGGGATCGCGATTGAGCGCTAGGCGCTGATCAGGAGCTCTGGGCGTAGGAGATTCAGAGAGAAATGGCCAAGGATGGAAGCCTCCGGAACCCCGGTTTTCAAAAGCAGACACAGCAGTAGATCAGCGACAGACGGATATATGATACATAATACAAAACTCCATATTAATATACACGGAGCGGCCAGATGATGATAATGACCTGTGGACGCATACTAACCTGGCCACTCAGTATATGAACATATATCAGAGGCCCGGTGCCTGAATCCGTGCATGGGTGGGGTCCGGCCAGCCTGCCCAGGGGGAGGGGACGTGGGCAGTCGGCTGGCCTGCCTGCTGGTCGCACTCCTGGTGGAGGGGACCATGTGCATATTGGCCTTTTATTCTATAGGATGGACACGGAGTGGCCGGATGATGCCGCTGTGTTCAGAGACCACCCTCATCTGGCCACTCGGTTTTAGGTTTATGACATAGAACCAGCCTCCATCATTCCCACATAGGGGCCAGCGAAATTACGTAGAACAAGAGAGAAAAGGAGGGGAAAGACCCCTAACCCCACCTTACTCTCCCTCTAACAAAACGAGCTTTCATTTCTAGCCAAGCTAAGGGTGCCCGACAGGCTTTTATTGCAGAAATATTTTTTGATGGATAAATAGCCATACCCCCCCACATCTGTACATTGAAGAGCAATTAGAACTTCACGGGGCTGCTTAGCAGATTCCATGGATCATTGCACCGAGGACCCTCGACGTATTAAGCCAGGGGTCGGCAAACTCATCCGTCCACAGAGCCAAGCATCAGCAGCACCACGGCGGACATGTCTCTGGAGAGCCTCATGTTTTCAACGTAAACTCATTCTAACGCCACATCTTCCACACAGACTCGCCCAGGCCGTGGTCTTTTGTGGAAGAGCCACCCTCCAGGGGCCAGAGAGACACACGTGGCTCGCGAGCCACAGTTTGCCGACCACGGGGCTAGAATGATTACACGGTGGTTGTTTCTCAACATGTTTTTATTGATTTCAGAAAGAGAGAGAGAGCTGAAACCGGTTTGGCTCAATGGATAGAGCGTCGGCTTGGGGACTGAAGGGACCCGGGTTCGATTCTGGTCAAGGGCATGGACCTTGGTTGCGGGCACATCCCCAGTGGGGGATGTGCAAGAGGCAGCTGATCGATGACTCTCTCTCATCGAAGTTTCTAGCTCTCTGTCTCTCTCCCTTCCTCTCTGTACAAAATCAATAAAATATATTAAAGAGAGAGAGAGAGAGAGAGAGAGAGAGAGAGAGAGAGAGAGAGAGAGGGAGAAACATCAACAAGGACACAGAATCATGGACCAGCTGCCTCCTGCACGCCCCACATTGGGGATCCAGCCCACACCCAGGCATGTGCCCTTGACCGAGACTCAAACCCTGACCTCCTGGTACCTAGGTTGATGCTTACCCACTGAGCCACGCCAGCTGGGCTCATTTCTTAGGGTTTAGAGCAATTCTGCAGGCAGAAAACAGCCACACCGGCTTCCATTCAGTTGCTATGACGTCGGCAAACTCATGAGTCCACAGAGCCAAACATCAACAGCACAACAATGGGCATGTCTCTGGAGAGCCACAGTTTTTAAACGTAAACTTCTAACACCACGTCTTCCACACAGACTCGCCCAGGCCGTGGCATTTTGTGGAAGAGCCGCCCTCCAGGGGCCCGAGAGCCGCCTGTGGCTTGCGAGCCGCCGTTTGCCGGCCACGGGGCTGGGCCACGGCCGTGTTTGCACCCTGAGCCACTTCCTTTCGGCGCCGATGGAAACACGAAGACAGGGGCCCAGGAAGTGAGCGCCCGCGGCTCTGACTCAGAGTTCGCTCCTCGCTGCACCCTCAAAGCCACCTGGGCCCCACCATCCGCTCAGACATTTTCAACAAAAACCAAGCGTTTCTGGCTTTCCGTGTCCGCGGCAGAGGCAGCCACGGGGGAGATGCCACGGCTCTGAGCGGGACTCAGGCCCACGTGGCTGCTGCCCGGACACGGGTAGACTTGGCTGTGTCTTAGGGGTGAAGTGGCATCTGGACTGTGCCCGTGGGTGCCTCCTGTTCCATCCTATTCCCTCACGCCTTCAGGGCACACCACGCACACGGAATACCCAGGAGCCCAACACGCCCCACAGGCAATGACCGCAGATTTCACGCCGTGAAATAAAGCGTTACACAAAGCGCCTTTGCGGCCGATGAATAAAAATACATAACAAGCCTGTTTGTTGCGACAAAGAAAAGCACAGCACAAAGCACGAGCAACTCCCCGAAGGAGACACACGGACGCGCCCAGTGCCTTTCAGAGCTTAAACGCGTGGTCGACGAGACTGACGGACACAGATGGTTAGACCTATATGTTTCCCCCCCAAAAAAATTAAGTGCATACACGGAGTGGCTAAATTATAATGATCTCTGAATGAACAATAAATCTAAGTGTGTGTGTGTGTGTGTGTGTGTGTGTGTGTGTGTGTGTGTATGAGGCCCGGTGCCTGAATCCGTGCATGGGGGGGGGGTCCGGCCAGCCTGGCCAAGGGGGAGGGGACATGGGCGGTTGGCTGGCCTGCCTGCTGGTCGAACTCCTGGTCAAGGGGACAATTTGCATATGAGCCTTTTATTCTATAGGATAGACACTGAGTGGCCAGATGATTATGCGTTCAGAGAGCATCATCATCTGGCTACTCAGTGTGTGTGTGTATATCTCTATCTATCTCTCTCTCTCTAACTATCTATCTATCTATCTATCTATCTATCTATCAGAGGCTTGGTGCATGAATTTGTGGATGGGTGAGATCTGGCCAGCCTACCCAGGGGGAGGGGACATGGCGGTTGGCCGGCCTGCCTGCTGGTCGAACTCCTGGTCCAGGGGACCATTTGCATATTGGCCTTTTATTCTATAGGATGGACACGGAGCGGCCGGATGATGATGCGTTCAGGGATCACCATCACCTGGCCACTCTGCTCGCCGTAGGGATGTGGGCAATTGATGTTACTCTTGAACTTCCTAAAGGAATCGATGCCCATCTACCCACTTATTTCTAGAATAAGGGCCCGAAGGTCTTTGGGTCATTTTTTCCCTCTTGTTTTGCTTGCAAATTCAAGGATGTTTTGTCCCGTGAAGGCCCTTCGCGGGCGGGGCTGACATGGGTAGGGCGTCTCGCCCCGTGGCCAGCCCGCTGCTTCCGTGTCCCTTTTAGGATCCCGTCGGAACCCTTCTGGAGTGGGCCTCACTCCTGGGAACGGACTCGGTTTACGATCACACACGTCTTATCGCCCTGGCAGCGTTCTCCTTCGTTAGAACTGGCTTTTGACCACGTGAGGAACCTTCAGGAGAAGGACGGTGGCCAGGGAACCCTCTGGACTAAGACAAAACGCTGAATATCCCCGTGGAAAATCACTTCGATCCGCGTGTGCTGATCAACACACACACACACACACACACACACACACACACACACACCGCTTCCCACTGTCCGTGGCTACACAAAATGCAAATGGGCAAACGCAACAAGCTCAGGAGGTAGCTGCTGCCCTGACTTTTGGGAGGAAGATGGGAAGAGAAAAGTATAAAATAAAATAAAATAAAATAAAATAAAATAAAATAAAATAAAATAAAATAAAATAAAACAAAACAAAACAAAATAAAATAAAATAAAATAAAAAAATAAAATAAAACAAAACAAAATGAAAGAAAATAAAATTAAATAAAGAAATATTTTCAAAGTGAATACCGACAAGCAAGATTTTTAACAATAATTTCCTTCCTTTCTTTCTTTCTTTCTTTCTTTCTTTCTTTCTTTCTTTCTCTCTCTTTCTTTCTATTTGGAATTTCTACAAAAATACCATTTCAATGTCCTCTCCACAACAGCAACAAACCAGCTTTGGATACGACGCCATAAGGAGCAACACGAAATGCCCACACCATCCTCCGTGGAGTGATCCCCTGAGAGGACTGATTACTCTGAGACGATTATTCAGAAAAAGGTCTGTCCGGTGACCCACGCGCGGACCACAGTCCTCCCCGCTCACCGGGTCCCCGAGCGCCCGGGCCCATGTTCCCACGGCGCCTCTCGGGGGCTGCACGGCGGTGGGTGGTCTTAACTGCATCCTCCCAGGCCCTCACCCCCCCACCCAGCACCCCCACCCAGCACCAGGCGGGCGGCGGCCCCCCCAAGAATTTCCAAAGTCAACCGAGACGGGCGAGACACCGAACACCGGACGGGAGAACCTCCTGGGATAGGGACGCACCACGAGGCGAGCTTTTCCCGAAGACCCACGGCCGTCCCCGCGCCCACTGCTGTGCCTCAGCGATTCAGGAAGTTCCTGCGGGTCCGGAAAGAGGGGTGGCTCCGTGCAGGCAGAGGCAGAGCCCGGCTTCTCTCTCTTTTTTTAATGCATTTCTTGCTCAGAGGATAAAAATCCACGTCTCTGGGCCCTTCCCATCTCCTTCGATTTCCCACGCGGACACGCGGGCGCTGGGGAGCGGGGAGGACCACAGCTCTGGTCACACCCTGGCCCCGGGGGCAAGCAGGGACACACCCAGACCCGGTGCTCCCTGTAAACGCGGGATTTCTCTTTCCTCGGCTGTTTCTGTCTTTAGTGTTTGGCCCTTCCACAGGCGGGCATGGGGTTCAGCAGGGCCAGGGTCGTCTGTCGGAGCTAAGACGGCTCCGGCCAAGCTCACCCCCACCCGCCCTTCCGGCCACTGTCCCGTCGTGTACCCCGATGCCCGTGTCTCACCCCGACGTGTCCCCCCTCCCCCCAGGAGAGCCCGCCGCGGGTCCCTACCTAGCCCGAGCACCCCCGCGTCCAGCAGGACACAGCCCACGGCCAGGAGCTTCAGCCACACGTCCATGGTCACCATCAGGAAGCCGGCCTGGGCCACAGCATGCGTCCCTGTGCGGAGGGGGAGAGCAGTGGTTAGCGCCAGGCCGGCGTGTCCCCCCCCCCGAGGGAAGACCCTGTGGATGGTGGCGAAGACGAGGCCCGAGGGAGCACCTACCCTCCTCGGCTGTCCTCCTCGGCCCCGTCGATCTCCTCCTCTGCCTCCCCGGGCGCGGGCCGCTGGCTGGCTGGCCTCCCCCGCGGGCGGGCGGGAGGCGGTGGTGATGTCAGATTCGGTTTTACTAACTTCTCCAAAAGCCCTGCACGCCGGCCTCGGCGCAGGAAGTCGAGGCGGGCGCTCAGAGCCCGCTCCGGCGGGGGCCGCTCACTTCCTCCCGGGCGGAGGCCTGGGGAGGGGTGTCTGCCCGTCACGGAAGGTGAGCGTCGGGGATCCCAGCAAAGCGCCCATCACGATCCTCATTCCCGCCTGAACGGCGTGGCTCCGAGGGCAGAGCGGCGGCCTGCGGACCGAGGGGTCCCGGGTTCGATTCCGGTCGAGGGCACGGACCTTGGGGGCGGGCACCTCCCCAGGAGGCAGCTGGCTGATGATTCTCTCTCATCGATGTTCCTAACCCTCTGTCCCTCTCTCTTTCCTCTCTGTGAAAATTCAATAAAATGTATTTTTTAAAAACACACATCCCTGCAATCTAACTTCAAAAGAAAACAAACACAATATTCATTCCCGTTTGAAAACACGTGTCCTCCCTCCCTCCCCCCCTTTCCCTTCCCCATCCCACTCCCCACCTAACCAACCACGCTCTTACCCAAGAGATAGATGCTCACGCAGGTTGGGCACCGGCGGGCGGTGGCAAGGCGATTCGTTCGTGGGTAAGACCGGGATCTGATTTCCCATGACCGCGGGAACCCTATAGGATAAAGAGCTAATATGCTAATTAGACCAAACAGCCGGACAACCTTTCGGGCGACCTTACGAATGAAGCCAGGGCTGCGAGGGCCAAGCCCGGGGCCTCTCCTGGTTCAATAATCACCAATTGGGCCGAAACCAGTGTGGCTTAGTGGATAGAGCCTCCGCCTGCGGACTGGAAGGTCCTGGGTTCGATTCCGGTCAAGGGCATGTACGCTGGTTGCGGGCACATTCCCAGGAAGGGGGTGTGCAGGAGGCAGCTGATGGATGATTCTCTCTCATCGATGTTTCTAACTCTCTATCCCTCTCCCTTCCTCTCTGAAAAAAAAAATCCATAGAGTGTATTTTAAAAATAAATAAATAAAATGAAATAATTCCCGGTTGGCTGTTTGGGGCCGTGGTTGTCCTGTGTCCCAGGAGGGTGCTGGAAACCCGGCCACGTGAACGTGCACACCGTCTCCCAGGCAAAGACCCGCTGAGAGCTGAGGAGGGTTGTCGGCCTGCCCCCTGCCCCGATCTCCTGGCAGGGGGGGGGGAAGGGGGGGCAGGACTGGCATCGGAACTCGCAGCCCCGACAGCAAATCCTGCTTCAGGAAAACTCCTTTCCCTGTGGACGAAGGGAAGGCGGGCAAGAGAACTCGAGATGCATCTCTTACAGAAATGACCCCTCCCCCCCCTCTCGGCAGCACTTCCCAACCCTTTCCATGAGAGGAGACAACTGGCCCTGGCCGGTGAGGCTCAGTGGGCAGAGCGTCGGCCTGCGGACAGAAGGGTCCCGGGTTCGATTCCAGTCAAGGGCGTGGACCTCAGTGGCGGGCACATCCCCGGTGGGGGGCGTGCAGGAGGCAGCTGATGGATGATGGTTCTCTCTCATCCATGTTTCTGGCTCTCTCTCCCTCTCCCTTCCTCTCTGTGAAAAATCAATAAAATATATATATATATTATTATTTTTTTTTTTTAAAGAAAAAGGTCTTTGAAGAAACGGGAAGCATTTAGGAGGTGCGATTCCACGGGAACCTCCGTTTGGACGGGCGGGCACATGTAGGAGTGCCGTCCATCCCCCCGCCCACCCCCAACCCAGTGGCTCACGACCGGTCGATCGATGATCGATCAATCGGTCGTGAAAACAGACTGGCAAACAATGGCAGCGCAGCCGAGCACGGTGCGGCCTCAGAGGAAGTGATCCTCCACGCCTGAGCGGCCCTCGGAGGTCCCCGGGGGGGTGGGGTGGGGTTCGGGGCCTGGGGGGGGGGGCGGGCGCACCTGCCCGGGGTTCCACCCAAACACCGAGTTTGAGAAAGGGAAGGGCTTGGGTTTCCCCGCCTCACCCTGCAGAGGAGGGTTTGGGAGGGAGGGAGGGAGGGAGGGGCGGATGCTTGGATGGGATCCTGCAAGGTTAGATTTCAGTCTGGGGAGGGACCATCGGAGCATCCAGATCACGGAGGGATAGGATGCTGTATTCCTCTCTCTCTCTCTCTCATCCTCCCCCAAGGCTGTTTTTCCATTGATTTTCAGAGAGAGTGGAAGGGAGAGGGAGAAACAGAGAGGAACACTCGGGTCCGGGGAGGCCCAGGAGGAGCCAAATTGAACTCCTTGACCAGAATCGAACCCCGGGACCCTGGGGTCTGCAGGCTGGCGTTCTATCCACTGAGCCATACCGGCTAGGGAGTTGACATGGATTTTTTAAAAAAATATATTTTATTGATTTTTTTCTTTTTTTTTTTACAAAGAGGAAAAGAGAGGGATAGAGAGTTAGAAACACCGATGAGAGAGAAACATCGATCAGCTGCCTCCTGCACACCCCCCACTGGGGATGTGCCCGCCACCAAGGCACATGCCCTTGCCCGGAATCGAACTCGGGACCCTTGGGTCTGCAGGCCCCGGCGCTCTGACCACGGAGCCACACTGGCCGGGGCGATGACATGGATTCTTGACCAATCCGTCCGTCCGTCCGTCCGTGGTCCAGGGAGGCCTGGACTGAGTGTGGGGACAACACCGGTGAGGCCGGGCTGAGGGCCGGGCCCAGAGGGGGGCGGAGGCAGGGGGCAGGGACCAGAACCAGACACACGGACGGCTTTGTCACGTCGATGACACATCCGGGGGTCGCCAGGGGGAGGCGGCGTGAGGCAGATGGGGGGGGGGGTCAGGCAGAGCTCTCTCTCTCTCTCTCTCTCTCTCTCTCTCTCTCTCTCTCATCTCCCCCGGTCCCCACGCCTCCTGCTTTGCATAAGACAGACGCTTCCCTCTTCTTCTTCTTTTCTCTGCGTGCGGTCACCTCATTTCCATTTTCCCTCAAAAAAAAAAACACACAGTGTGTTCCCAGCGACCGAGAAAGCAAACAGGAACTAGGCGCCTAGATACGGGGAACACGCCGTTGCCCAACGGGGGTGTGTGTGGGGGGATGGTAAACACGTAAACGAATGATTAAGAATAAGGATACACAACTCGGCCCGGCCGGTGTGGCTCAGTGGTGAGCATCCACCTGTGACCCAGGAGGTCAGGGTTCGATTCCTGGTCCGGGCACAGGCCCAGGGAGCGGGCTCCATCCTCAGTGGGGGGCGTGCAGGAGACAGCTGATCTGTGATTCTCCCTCATCATGGATGTTTCTATCTCTCTCTCTCCCTTACTCTCTGAAGTCAATTATACACACACTCACACACACACTCACACACACACACACCTGGGTAAGATCTCATGTTTTACATTTCATTTTTTTTCTTTGTTAATATATTTCATTGTTTTTTTACAGAGAGGAAGGGAGAGGGATAGAGAGCTAGAAACATCGATGAGAGAGAAACATAGACCAGCTGCCTCCTGCACACCCCGCACTGGGGATGTGCCTGCAACCAAGGTCCATGCCCTTGGCCGGAATCGAACCCGGGACCCTTCCGTCCGCAGGCCGACAATCTATCCACTGAGCCACACCGGTTTCAGCTTTCATCTTCTTTATGTCATGCCCCTTCTAAGCAACTTTGGCTGATACATTCTCTCTCTGTCTCCCTCCCTCTCTCTCTCCCTCTCCCTCTCTCCTCTCCCCTTTTTCTCTCTCTCCCTCTCCCCCCTCCTGTGTGCAGTGACATCAGCCCCCAGGAGAGAGGAGAGGGGGTGAGCCTGTGCAGAGAGGGGGTGAGCCTGTGCTGAGGGCCCCCCAGGGCAGTGGGGGTGCACAGGGAAGACTCCCCAACCCCGAGTGCTGGCAGGCGAGCTCCCCACACCGCAGCTCCCCACGGGCCCTCCCCCTCCCCCCTCGGGCATAGGAAGTGGCACCTCGGTGTGCAGCTGGGAGCAGCGAGTGCAAAGCTGGGTGCTACCCCCACCCCCACCCACCCCAGGGAGCTGCCTCTGATGTGGGTGGGGATGTGCTCAGCCCAGATGCTCCGCGGGCTTCTCCCTCCCCTCCTCCCGCTCCTCCCTGAAGCTGCCACGTGTGGGCCTGAGCCCTGAGAGGGGACGGGGCCCCCCCAGAACCGGAGGCGTGGCTGACAAGGGGGTCCTGGCTCTTGGTCCCAGTGTGGGACGCCTCCTGACCCACACCCCCAGCCGCTGGGAGCAGGTCCCAGGGCGCTGGGGGCACCCCCTTGGCTGGGGCCGGCCAGCATCACCCCGCTGCTGCCGGGAGGGGGGCCGGAAGGCGCTCAGAGGCTGTGGTTCCCCTTCTCACCGTCCCACGGCAGCTCGGCCCCCCGCGGCCCTGCAGGGCGGGCTGGGGGGGAGGGCGGGTGTGGGGGGCACGCAGCAGGCCGGGGTCACCGCATGGGGAGGGAGGACTGAGCTCTAAGGTCAGAGGTGGGTGCTGAGCTCAGCGCCCAGGTCCCAGCCCCCGGAGGGGGTGGTAGAGGCAGCACCTGGCACAGGTGAGCGTTCCCATGGAGATGGCATGCAGGACAGGGACAGTGGTTCCTCCTTCACACACATCCCTGACCTGCATCATGCGTCCGTCCATCCATCCACCCATCCACCCATACATCCATCCACCCATCCATCCACCCATCCATCCAACCATCCATCCAACTACCCATCCATCCACCCACCCACCCATCCATCCACCCACCCATCCATCCAACCATCCATCCATCTACCCATCCATCCACCCACCCACCCATCCATCCACCCAC